TCTCGCGTAATAAATTAACTCTAGCTTCTGATGTTTAAATAACAATCACGGGAGATCATTTTTGTCTGTTTAATTGCCTACTTCTAGAGATTTCCTTCTGTAGGAATTTTGTTTTCGCAAATTAATGTTAAATAATTAATGTTACTAATGTTAAATAAAAAATAAATATAAAGCGACTGTAAAAATATAAAAAAAATTAAGATCACTTTATAGAAAATATAATAATTTCAAACAAACAAATAAACTTCTTAACCGGTTGTAACTTCAAATAGTTTTTGAGTCAGTTGTAAGAAAAAATTTAAATATATTAATATTATATAATACGATTATGGCTACAGTTTTTTATGAATATGGTTTAATCGCTGCTATTGTTTAGGTGTTGTTTGCCCATTGAAAGTGCTGTACCATTTGAATATTTATTACTAGTAAATTGTGGCGTCACCGACGCTGTAAACTGTTTTGAAAATAGTTTAATGTGTTTAAAATGTCTTTCATGCTTAGCTTTGTTCAGTTATGTTCTTTCAGTGCCTGGCTTTAGACTTATCAATGAATCGTAGTGTTTGATAATGTTTTACTCACGTTCAAAAGTTCCCAACTTCCAATGGCCTTGGGTTACTTCCATATGGGATATGAACTGGTCTTTTTGCAATTTCAAAATAACTATCGCCGTAACAAATACAGGTTTTGATGATGTGAATAGTTATATTTTAGAACAACTACATTTTTACGCTTTTTTGCTAATATGCACAAAAATTCACATAGCACATTGCAGTAACACAAATATTAAATGCAAAAATGCAGATCATTCCCAATTAAGTTCCGAAAATTCTGTCGCAATATCTTTTACAACTACATTTCATTCTTCCTCAGATATGTTTTACACTTCCATATTTTTCTCCCCTAATTTTTGACGAGATTAAATCTTCACAAACTCAGTTTAATTTGTCTTCACTTCTATTTCTGTAATTGCTCTATTAATCGTTTTGCATGCAAATCTAACATTTATAGACGACTGTTTTGTATGTTTATGCGAATAAAATGCTAGTTTAGTTTAATAAAAATAAGTTGTGGGTCACAATAATTTGAAAATTGGTATTTGCACACTTACACAAAGAACGTAGTCGATCGAACGTGACTAGTACGACGTAGTCGTAAGAGCGGAGTCAAACATAAGAAAGGTTATTCATTCTTTTGCATTACTCAGTTTTTTTCTTCATATTCACTTGAAATTCTTTAAGTTTCTTAAGTTCCGAGGCAATACTGTTCGTAGGTTTTCGTTTTTTTCTTTTTTGTTTTGTAAATACGATAATTCGAATCTGAATTGATATCGAACTGTAGCCTGATTTACTTCGTAATTCAATTGTTCACTTAAAGATGTCAACATCAGCGTTGCCAACATCAGCGTCGCCAACATCGTAAACAAATTATGGCGTATTGAGTTAAAAATGCTTGTGGATACTGGCGTTTAATCAACGCCATTTACATAAATCGATTTAGGAGGCGTTGGTTTAATTCCTGGCATTATCGCTAAAAATCGCAAAAAAACAAAAAAAACACGTTTTTGGAACTTTATTTGAACCTTCTAGCTGGCCGGGTCCGCAAACAAATGATCAGTTCCCCACCAGGCGACCGAGACGCGTCGAACGCCACCTCATACGTCTCGATTGGCGCTCGAGAAGTGGTACAGCCGCGAGTGACGGAATCGAACACTCAAGAGTTTTACTCGAATACTGTAAAGGGATACTACTTCAGATACTATTATCAGAAAAGCATTAAATTGCCGTTGCATCATGAAGTTTATAACTGAATATAAAAGAACAATCTGTGTGTCGGGATTTATTTGCAAGAGTCATGTCGTTACTAAAATATGTTGATGAGCTTGGAAATAACGTCGAAGAGATGAGGTAATGCGAGAACGAGAAACGTGAAATAATAAAGAACAAAATAAATTGAAATGTTTTAAAAAACGAACGATGATATTATGTAAAATTATGTTGCATGAAAAAATATTAATCAAGGGTAGTTTGAAGTATTCTAATTTTAAAGTAATATAAAGTATTAAAAACATTAACATCAAATTAATGTGATACTGATAATAAGATGTAGGTTATGTTTTCGTAAATTTGAAAATTCCGTTGCATGTATGCCTTGGACACCACCATAATAATTAATCGTAGAAGTTAATTTTTGATTCATCATTTATTTGCTTTCGAAAATATTGAGTACAATAATAAATATATTTGATGAATTTTAAATATAGTAGTAAAAACAACGTACAAAATTATTTTAAAAGACATTGAAATTCATTTTTATTATACATTTTATTAGATGAAATGTGAAGTTCATTGCATCATGTTGCGTCTAATGTTTTAGGTTAATTATATGCTGTAATTGTAAAGTAATAGTATCACAGTAAATATGTTATAGACGTTTGTTTTATAGTAAAAGAATAAAATAAAATATTGATTCGTTTTTGGTGATAACAGCGTATAACTATAATCAAAGTTCTCAACTTTGATAACGAGCCTCCCAATGCCTACTTCATCCGTGCCTTAATTAGATATAAATTTGCAGAACACTGTTGCAAACACATTTGTTAATGTGAAATATAAATTTGTAAAATAATAAATACTATTAATCGTAAAATATGTATCATACACGTAGTATATCAAAATAGTAATTAGATTAACATATACTGATTATCACATGAAATGATTTGTGCATAACTGTCATATTATTTAATATTGTGGCATTACTGAATACTTTTGATGATTGGTTTTGCTGGATTAGAGGTCTTCGTGACTTTTTAGTTGTAAGGAGCAACTAGTAAATTATCACTAAAAATTAAAGCTAGTGGGAATGCGTGGCATATTGAAATGTTCCTTTCTCTTAGTGTTACGGAATGTATAATATGCATAACTTGAAAATTGTAATGAAATCTAAACGTACTGCTGGTAACGGAATGGCACTTGTATCCTATAATTCAGTGTATAGTGTACTACCCTTAAAACAAAATATTGGAACCATTTTTGTAAAATTCTTTTTTTTAATGTTCTTTGAGGAAATAGTCACGATTTTCGTCGTCAACTACACTTATTTTGAAACAGTTGTAGATGACATCATTTAAAAACTGGGGGATAAATTGCATTGAAATAAAAACCTTGTTTTGATATTGGAGGCACGTGCGAAAAACGTTTTAACTATTGCAATTTCCAAAATTTCAGGTACTTTTGATATTCGGAATTATACTATATTTCAAAATGCACTTTACTCTATTTACTCAAAAACATTAAAGGGAAATTGCAATTTGTTTTCAGAACATTTTGAATATGCCATAGTGTACTATCAAAAGTACCCTCAAAATTAAAATATCTAAATGGTCTCTAGAACGGCACGACTAAGTCTTACTGACGTGTTTACAAATGTTGAGCACAAACCTTCTAATCTGACAAGAGGTCTATTCATCCCGACAGACATCCCAATTTTCGGGTACAAAACTGCGTGTATCTCTTCGCTACCTGAACCAATGCTTAGTAACTTTGGAACATCGTGAATAGGTCTTAAAACACATTTACGTGTGTGGGAAGTCTCAGCTCAAAAACTATACGTACGGATCTTACGACCTAAAATAGTATATCCTTTTGTGGAGGTGATTCCAATACTTTTCCTCCCTATACAACAGTATATAGACAGGAAAAGTGAAATCACAAAATTTAGGCTTTTCATATAGTTCATAGGCAACCTGATAACTCAATTAGGCACCCTGATGTGTATACAATATCAAGCCCAAAATATTACGGGTCTATTGATCAGAATAATTTGGGAGGTAGATTCAGATCTTACCCAGACCGTGTGTATGCTGGGGACACGTGACAGGTTTTTATGTTTGATTTCGCGCGTGTTATGTTGAAACACGTTTCGAAGGCGACACACGCCATGTTTTGACCTTCCGTCGCGATCCGCATTTTGTGCTTTCCGCTCAGCGGCCGCTTCCTCGCTCCAGGAATCACCCGACTGCATCCCGCGGTCAGGTCTCCTCCCCCCCCCCTCCGCTTCGCAATTAATGCCCTTTCACTTTTGGCTACCTCAGAACGAATAGCCCTATTGCATCCGGCGTTCAGATTTCCCGCTCCCCCTCTTCCCAGTTGATCCCATTTAACTTTTAATTCCCTGAAAAGGCACAGACCGTGCGCATCGCGGCAGCTGTTTCTGGACGTGGAAGCAATAGACGGTGGAATTAACTTTCCTTTCATGAGTAACACAAATAAATGTTCCCGCTCCTGTTGAAAGGAAACCTTGAATTGGGCATAGGTGAAAATGACAAAATATTTGGAAGTGTCACTGTTATGTAACTAAAATATAATTATTTTAATTCTGCATATTTTAAGGTTCTCCTCCTGTTACGTGCAAATGTTTCTTAAAAACAACAGGGCATGAATTATAATCGATTAATGTAATAGTAAGCAGACGACGGTAACCATGGCCATGGAGCCTTTCACCGAGGAGGAAAACGGAGCTGGATGCAGTCGGGCTATGCCTCTTGCGGGAGGTAGGAGTTGGCTTAGAAAAAGTTGACTGCGGGATGCACTCGGTATGTGCTGTAAGCCCAATAGAGCGCTCGCGCTATCCACAGCGCACGCTGGCGGGACTGTTGTAGAGGACGCGGCTCAGAACACGGTTATGTACACAGTGATTCAGAATATGGGCAACCACAACACAATCCTACGAAAATCAGAGTTCGACGGCTCACAGTTTTACGCTCCAGACGTTCGTGTTTGCTCGGTCGGGTAAAGTGGAACGAGCAAAACAGGCCCGAATCCCGAACATATCGTCGCTTTTTCGAAATGCTGTTGTAAATCAAAACATCGAAAAATGGGATTTTAAAGTAAATCAGTTAAAATATTTTTTGTGGAATAAGTATGTATCTCTAACGTTATATCAATATTTTCACTTTGTAGCAAAAGCATTGCTATTTCATGAAGAGAAATCGCCATTTATTTTATGGAATAATGTTGCCCAAAAAATGAGAGTTTTATAAAATCCATAACTTAAAAATTCAAAAAACATAGTTATTTTTATATAACTTGAAAATCGATTTATGGGAAGAAAACGAAGTTGCGGAGAAATTAAATCAGGCTCTACTGTACAAAACAGATTTTTGTGTTACAACAGTATTGCGGAAAAGCGACGAAACGCGGTGTTTCTCTAGACCTGACGTTGTAAGTAGAAAGGAACCCATCGTTCACAGAAACAGTGAAACCCAGCACGCGAAATCGAGACTGTTTCCCAAGCTCGGCTGTGCCGAATCTTTTGGTTGGTCCACCGCCTCAGCTCGTCGACCCTGAAGTCTGGCGAAGGCTCCGAAGCATCAGGGCGCTAGAAGGCATTCGAAGCGGGTCTTCACGGGTCACGGCGACAGGGCCACGTTGGATGCGGCGAGTAAACGCCCCATCTGCTCGTCCACGTCAGGCTGGCTCCCTGCAACACACGTTTCCAAATGCCATTACTAGGGACCAGTTTCTTCGGTTTTACCTCTTTTCCTCCTCACTTCTTAACGTCATTATCTTAATGCACATATCTGTTTCAATCATTTCTCAACCGAATATGTACATCCTATAAATCCTAAAATTTACCCTAATGGTAAATTAATAATAATTTGCTTTAAATAATTGTAAGGTACATGTCTTCACTAAACGAATATTTAAAATGGATTTACAGAACAAGAAACCCATAAGCCCCCTGTTTCTCGCCTTTTTGGACTTCATTTTAGAAACAGCTGAGAATCCAATGGAAAATTAGCTGAACACGAAAATGGAAAGGATGGCTATTCTAAAGGGATTCACGGGCTGCCTTAGATTCTTAACGGCACGGGGGCTCCTGACGGACCCGGCGGGACGGGCGCCGTTGGCTGAAGAGAAACAAAGAAAAGACGAATGTGACCGCAAAAGCACAGACTTTGTCGCAATATTTGTAATTTCGCCGTTGTCTAAAATTCAATGTTTTAATTTTAAATACCGTTTCTTTGGTACAGATGTGTGTATATTCAAAACTAACATTTTTCACAAAGCCATTCTAATCCATTTGTCTATTATATATATATATATATAT